ACCACAAAGAAATCCAAAATAACTTTGAAAATATAAATCAATCTATTTCTAAGTTAACTCTACACCAAAAAAATTTCCAGAAAACAACAACAGAGAAGGAGCAGATAAAACAGATAAATGGATATAGAATTGAGAATAGAGACATAAAGATGAAATTTAACAAAAAAATGATTTAATTCTAGTGGAGAAAAATTCACAGGAATTGAAAAAAATAACTTATCCCTTAAGACTATAAAATAAATCCGAGGACAAGAAAACAGATTGGATAAAATGGACTGTAGAGATTTCAGGAACATCGGAGAGAAAGGAAATGATAAGAGAAGCGGAGAGAAAGAAAAAGAAAAAAAATTTCAACAAACATGGAAAGGCAGAAGCCCTGTACAAAGACACTTCACCTGATTTACTTTTTATATCTACAGCAACATTTACAAACATACAGAAAAACTTTTTGATTCAGCAAAATACATTGATTAAGAAAGATACTGATGGGACTTACCAGAGAGAATACTTCAAAAAGAAACATTTGTTTGAATATGGTTAAAGAAATTGAAAAGTTTTGGAATATATATGTCATTCTAAAAGGGATGGATTCCCTAAATAATATAGTATCCTTTTTTTCCTTTTTTGTTCTCTTTCTTTATATGAGTAATATAAAAATGTTGAAATGACTTTGATAAAGGAAATGTTTCAGATACTTAAATGTGATTGAATTTAAGAAAATTATAATGGATAAAAATGTTCTGAATAAGAGTTAAAGGACTAGATGACTAGATGTATTAAATAGAATGTTTAAAGATTAAACATATTTTTAATTATGGTTAAAAAGAATAAGAAATTTAGAAAATAAATATATATTAGCTTAGGAGGGATATATATTTTAAGTAGTATGTTATTTTTATGCTTCTTTACTCTTGCTCTCCTTTCTTTTTTTTTTCATTGTTTTATCTATTCCTTAAGAAATGTAAAAGTGTGAGATGTTTCATATGGAAAAATAGAGTTAAATTTTTAAATGTAATTAATTTTTGAGAAAATCTTAACCAGTAAGAATACCTAAATTTGGTGGGAGAAACAAACTAAAATAAGGACTATAACAGGACCTATGATAAGCCAACGAGAATGATTGGATAGAAAAGAAATATTATATTGATGTGATTATTATTTTTAGGAATATTGGGAAAAATTATATATTTAATTGTTATCTATCAAAATAATAAGAATTGTATTAACTCAACGTTTGCAAAAGAGGATATTTTGGGAAAAGAGGAAATCAACTAAAACCATTATGTGGATTATGAATTATAGAAATCAATTGCTAATGATTGTTTTACAAATGCAACCCAGACAACACACTGTTCACCAATTATTAAGTGATTTATGTTTTTTAAAAAAATCAATAAAATATATTACAAAAAAAGGAGTCAAGTCTGACTTGAAGGAAGAAGAGAGAGGAGGGTGAGAGGGAGGGAGGGAGGGAGGATGGTGGGAGAAAGGAAAGAGGACAGGGAGAGGGAGAGATGGGAAGGGGACGAGGAAGGGAAAGAGGGATAGGAGAAAGGAGGAAGGGGAAGAGGGAGAGGGAGAGAAGGAGGAAGAGAGAGAGAGAGAGGAAGAAGGAAAGGAAAAAGGGGAAGAGACAGAGGGAGAGAAGGAGGCAGGGAGAGAGGGAGTGGGAGAGAGAGAGGGAGATGAGGAAGGGAGAGAGGGAGAGAGAGGAAGGGAAGGAGGAAGGGGAAGAGAGAGAGGGAGAGAGATAGATGTGCAGAAATCATCCAGCTGTTTTTCCTGCCCACAGATGTGGGCGGTATAACTCTATCCTTAGTGAGACAGGAGCCCCTTCATCTCCCTCACACCCCAAAGTTTGAATCAAACCCTCCATTCTAATTCAGGCATTTGAAGCCAGAATCCACTTACCAGTTAACCAATTAAGCCCAACATGTTGGAGATCGACCAACTCCAAACCAAACTTGCAAACCAAGGAATTGAATCCAGCACGCGAAAGACCTGCTGGCATCTGTTTTTTTTTGACAGTCCCTGTCCTTCTGCAGTTCATCAGTCTTTATTTAGAGAACCTGCTTGCAAGAGTGAAGTTGCAGAGATGACAACTCTAAGACGTGCTTGCAGTTCTTCCTCTGAAGTAGTTTCATAAATAACTGCAGCGACAGGAAGGCCATTTATACTCCTTGGCGAGCTTCTAGAGAGATAAATTGCTAATATTTCTATTATGGGGACAATTACACCCCCTATCTTTGTTTCCCGCTGGGAAGATTAATACTCATTCACCCTGGAGAAGGGGGGTAAATACAATGACATCCCTGGAAAGATTTGTTTTCATTTAGAGTTTGGTGGTTCAAAAATTCTGTGCATCTCTCTGGATAATTGGCTTTGTTCCTAGGCTTTCCCACACTGGAAAGCCTTAAAGAAATTAATCATATCAGAAATCTTTGGATCAAAAAATCCAACATCAAGGCTGACAAAGGAAAGTGAATTCTGGATGCAAAAACATTGCATAATTCTACTTTTTAAAGCAATATCACTGCAGTATTAGATTCCTTTCCATGCACCCTGAAAAAGAATAAATTTTAAAAAAAGGGTGTTTTTTTTTTAGTGATTAATGCTGATTTCATGTGAAAACACAGAGATCTTGCAAATGCCATCAGATTGCATCAGTCATTTGCTGGGATTGTAGGTTTTAAAAAGTATTTATTTCTTTAACATTAGAGATTAGATCCCCCTCTAGTGGAAACTGGAATGTCATGCTTCATATCCCTTGAAAGATATAAGCCAGAACAAGTAACTTGTGATTTTGGCTATTCTGAACTGGGTGCTAAGATTTGGGAGGGGGGTTTCAACTATTCTGTCGCAGGAATTCCTAAATCGGTTTTCTCAATCTTGGCAACATGTGGACTTCAACTCCCAGAATTCCCCAGCCAGCCTGTTGGGGTCCACATGTCTTAAAGTTGCTAAGTTTGAGAAACACTTGGCATAAACACTTCCAACAAATTGCACAGCACAATAAATTGGACAAATTGCACAGTATCAATATTTCCCCATCATTTGTTTTGCAGAAAAAAAGATACATATTTGAAGAAGGCAACACCCAAAGGGGTCCATGGAGAGAAAATAAAAAAATATGTATTTATATCCCATCTGTACTATTTATTTCATAAGTAACTCGAGGTAGCAAATGTACCTAATTTTATTTATTTATTTGCATCCAGCCTTTATTACTTCAACAAATAACTCAAGGCAATGAACATATCCAACACACCTCCTCCTCCTAATTTCCTCACAACATACAACCCTGCGAGGTGGGTTGGGCTGAAAGAGAGGGACTGGCCCAAAGTCACTCAGCTGGCTTTATGCCTAAGGTGGTACTAGAACTCACAGCCTCCTACTGAGTGGCTCAAAGTCATCCAAGCCAGCTTTCATGCCTAAGGCAGGATTAGAACTCAGCATTGGTGGCATTGCATCACATGTAAAAAAATGTGGGGGGTTTTATCTCATGGTTGGGGCCTCCATCTTGAATCCACTCCTCTAGGAACCAGCATCACTCTGCTCTTGAACATGGAGGCTTCAGTTTGCTAGACAGTGAATTACTCAAGAATACTGCAAATGTTGAACTATCCACAGATTAACTAAGTTTAGTGCATTGGGTAAATATATATATTTATTTTTATCTTGTCTTTATTATTTTTATAAATAACACATGGCAGCAAACATTCTTCTCTTGCTTATTCTTTTCCTTTATTTCTGTACACCATTTTTATTAGTATTATTTTCCTTTACTGTCCCTTCTTTCGGAGTCTAGCTATTATTCTCTTTCAGCGTTGTCATTTAAACTTTCAATAAAAAATGTTTTATAAAGAACATTTTTCACTGGAAAAATATAGATCAGTGGGATAGATCAAACACAAAGGCAGGATAAAGATGAGAGTTTCTCCAACTTAGAAACTTTTAAGACATGTCTTGAAGTTGCCAAGCTGGAGAAACGCTGACAAATTGTAGCACGTCTGCGGTGGGTGCATTGCTCAGAAACAACCTGGAAGCTGCATCCGTTAGTCAGAATAGACAATAGCACAGAGTTGGAAGGGACCCTGGAGGTCTTCTAGTCCAACCCCCTGGCCAAGTAGGAGACCCTACCATTTTGGACAAGTGTTGGAGCACCCACAACTTCGGGAAGCAAGCAGTTCCACTGATCAATTGTTCTATCAGGAAATTTCTCCGCAATTCTGGGTTGCTTCTCTCCTTGATTAGTTTCCATCCGATGTTTCTTGTCTTGCCTTCAGATGCTTTGAAGAATAGCTTGACTCCCTCTTCTTTGTGGCAACCCCTGAGATATTGGAAGACTGCTATCATGTCCCCCATAGTCCTTCTTTTCATTAAACAAGATATGATAGCAGTGTTCCAATATTTGAGGGGCTGCCACAGATAGGAAGGTGTCAACCTATTTTCCAAAGCACCTGAAGGCCAGACAAGGAATAAGGGATGGAAACTGATCAAGGAAAGATTCAACTTAGAAATAAGGAGACATTTTCTGACAGTGAGAACAATCAACTAATGGAGCAGATTACCTTCAGAAGTTGTGGGAGCGTCATCACAAGAAACTTTCAAGAAGAGACTGGACTGCCATCTGGACTAGATGACCTACAAGGTCCCTTCTAACTCTGTTATTGTATTCTGTTCTGTTTTGTTCTGTTCTTGCAACCGTTCAGCGTATGCATTAGCCTGCATAGGGGACTAACCATCTTGATTGTTCTTCTCTGCACTTTTTCTAGGGTCTCAAGTTACATCAACAGGCCTTCATTTTTGAGGCGGGGGGGGGGGGCGTCTGTAATCCTTGGGTGGGTGGGAGCCGGAACGAGGAAGAAAGGAAGGGGAAAAGTCCATTTCAGGCGGAAAGAAAGAAAAAAAACCCCATAAATTACATAATTTAAGGCTCCTCCTTCCGGCAGCTGGCGACGATCCTGCTCGTGACCGCAGAGGAAAGCAGAGCGCAAAACATGTCCGGGCGTGACTCCGGATTGCAAGACCCCGAGGTTGCGTCAGGTTTTTCCGACCTGAGCGACTCCGAGTTCTTGCAGATAGAGGAGCCGAAGATCGGGTGAGCAGCGGGTTGCGTTCGCGTGACGGGCTGGCCCCGGTTCACAAAACCCTGGTTGGAGTCTCAACGCTGGTTGGAGTCCCGTCCCTGCTGCGTGCGCGGTTCCCCAGAGCGTCAACGGACTTAACGGGCTGGGTTGCGCCGTTGTTGTTGTTGTTGTTTTTACGGTTAGCCGCGTTTGGGGTTCGAACTCGCGTTGCCGTGCAACTCGCAAAACATGTTTTGCCGCCTGGGATGTTCAACGGAATTAAAGCGAACGCGGTTTTCGCCGCCCGCATTTGCGCTCCCGCGGGGATTTAACGAAAGTAAAGGGGAAAAGAAAGCGGTCCAGAGTCACCTTGTAGGGGGAAGTGGGCGGCATAAAAGTTTAATAAAATAAATAAGAGAAAACTTTCTGGCCACGATTAAGGGCAAAAAGACATTCTGTGGAACATTAGTCCCTGATGAAAGACAAAAGAATGTGCTATCCTAAAATGTCTATGGAGATTCTTGGTCATCCAAGTCATGGTTGTCCCAAAGGTGCTTTTTCAGGAGGCAACTGGACTTTCTCGTTTTTCCTTTGAAGGCGTTTCTCTTCTCATCCAAGAAGCTGCTTCAGCTTTGACTATAGGAACATTTGCGCTTCAGTTTGAGGTGCAGACAACACAGACTCATCCCCAACAGCCTGTTCTGTCTTCAACAGTGAAGGGACAAGGGGCAGAAAGCATCCTGCAGCCAAGAAGGCTCCAGGCCCATTTGCACCACTCAGGTGACCTTGAGGACACAGGTAAACCTCCAAGTGGCCTCAATGACTCTCTAACAGTGTTTCTCAACCTTGGCAACTTGAAGATGTGTGGACTTCAACTCCCAGAATTCCCCAGCCAGCGCATGCTGGCTGGGGAATTCTGGGAGTTGAAGTCCACATACCTTCAAGTTGCCAAGGTTGAGAAACACTGCTCTAAAAGAAGGCAAGTGACCATGATACAGTATAAGTCAGGGGTCTTCAAACTTGGCCACTTTATGACTTGTGGACTTCAACTCCCAGAATTCCTCAGCCTGCGTGCCTGGCTGAGGAATTCTGGGAGTTGACGTCCACAAGCCATAAAGTGGCCAACTTTGAACACCCCTGGTATAAGTCCTTCCTTTCCCCACCATCCAGTCAGAGCTGAGAAGCAAAATGTCTTCAAAGAAAAACAACAAAGTCCACTTGCCTCCTGAAAAAGCACCTTTGGTGCTATCCTAAATACACATCTAAACAGGCCGGGGAGTCAGTCATCTAACTGGCCTTTTGTGGTATCTGAAGCAGAACATCCAGAGTCAGTCACAGTTCCATATAATATCAACCTTGTGAACTCTCGATTTTTCTCTTTCGGCTATGTATTCAAAATGGTCTGTGATTAATATTGTTGTTGTAAATTGCCAAGTCGTGTCTGACCCATCGCGACCCCATGGACAACGTTCCTCCAGGCCTTCCTATCCTCTACCATTTTCTGGAGTCCATTTAAGTTCACACCTACTGCTTCAGTGACTCCATCCAGCCACCTCATTCTCTGTCGTCCCATTCTTCTCTTGCCCTCCATCTTTCCCAGCATTAGGCTCTCCTCCAGTGAGTCCTTCCTTCTCATTAGGTGGCCAAAGTACTTGAGTTTCAACTTCAGGATCTGGCCTTCTAAAGAGCAGTCGGGTTGATCTCCTCTAGGACTGACCGGTTTGATCCCCTTGCAGTCCAGGGGACTCGCAGGAGTCTTCTCCAGCACCATAGTTCAAAGGCCTCAATTCTTTTGCGCTCAGCCGTTCTTATGGTCCAACTTTCACAGTCATACATTGCAACTGGGAAAACCATGGCCTTGACTATACA